GTACATTCATTGTATCGAGGACAACAGGTCTTTTCTGTCTCAGGAGTCCCAGAAACGAGAGTCAGTTGTGTCACACTTATAGTCCCTCTTCACCTCAGATCGCGACTTGTTTAAGCCCCTACGCTTCCTTTTTCTCCACCATTTTACAGTCGATTGACCTTGTTGACTTCTGCGACCTCCTGAGTAGGGAGCAGATTAGGGAGGCTATCTTTTTATTGATCATAGCCTGGATGGCTTTTCGTCTCTCTTCTTCCAATCTTGCTAGAAAATTGTGGAGACTGACATTGAGGAAGCTATGGTGGATTTCTTCTCGAGTCACCATATGTCGGAGTCCTTCAAAGCGACCTCTATTGTTTTGATCCCCAAGAGACCTGGCCCAAGTTCCTGGTCCGGCTATAGACCTATCAGCATTTGTAATGTGACCAACAAGATCATCTCCAAGATCCTTAATGGTCGATTATCCCCCTCCTCCTTTCCCTCATCTCTCCGAACCAGAGTAGATTCATCAAGGATCGAGTCATCAGTGATAACATTCTTATGGACCAAGAGATGATCAATGACATCTCCCATGCGCACCAGTTACAAGCCCAGAACCTTGTGCTGGAGTTAGATATGGTTAAGGCATATGATAGGGTCGAGTGGTCATTCCTCAATGAGGTTTTGTTTCGGATGGGCTTCCCTGAGCGTTTGATTAGTTTTATAGAGACGTGCTGGAGCACTGCACGTTCTCGGTCCTTGTTAACGGTAGCCCTACAAACTTCTTTCCTTCTACCTGGGGTCTAAATTCTTTAACTCAATTAATCAAATTTCCGAAGACCCTCTATTCCCTCTGTTTTTGTCCTGACAACGGATTACCTGTCTCGTTGTCTTGATGGCTTCATTTGCGACTTTCCGAGGATGACCTATAGCACCAGTGGCTATGTCTCCCCCATCTCACACCTCTCTTATGTGGATACATTATTATCTTCACTCGTGCGGATAATAATGGACTACCGAGCTCATGCACCTCTTGGGGCACTATAGCTTTGTTTCCGGTCAGCTTGTCAGTTTGCAAAAGAACACATTCACCCTTGATAATCACATTACGATCAGTATGACCATTAGGTCCACGAGCGCACTGGCTTCGCGTGCGGAGACCTCCCCATCACATACCTTAGTGCCCCCTTGTACAAGGGCCACGTCTCGCATGAGCTCTTTTCTGATGTCAGGCAGGAGATGATTGACCGGATCTCCGGTTGGTCTCACAGACACCTCTCTTTTGGGGGCCGACTTACTCTGATCAAGAGCACCCTCAGTGCCCTCCCTTTTTACCTCCTTACGTTCCTTGACCCCTACCAGTCTATGATTCACGAGCTAGATCAGATCTTGACTCGTTATTTTTTGGGCATGGGGAGGGTTCCCGGAAAGGGAGACAGATCCACTGGGTTAAATGGGACTCTGTTTTTCGCCCTTCTTCAAGGGGGGCCTCGAGATCCGGCGCTTTGCGGATGTCGTCACCGCATTCTCTAATAAGATGTGGTGACGCTTTAGGGGGGTAAGTCACTCTGGCCCCAGTATCTTCGTCGAAAGTATTGTCCTGGAGGCGCTGCCCACCCCTGTAGGGTGACGACCACCGGCAGCGATAGCAGACAGTGGAGGCGGCTCACCATGGTCGGTAGACGTGCTCAGAATCATATTTTTTGGACGCTAGGTGAGGGGGACATTAGCTTTTGGGATGAGTGGTGGATTGGTGAGGGTCCCTTTCAAGCACTAGACAGGTCACTTACCTACCCTTTCTGCATGTGAAGGACCTTTGAACGGAGGGAGATTGGAATAGGGATGGATTGAAGATGATTCTGAGTAATGGGGCAGTTTTTAGCGACCATGAAATATGTCATAATGATATGTTAGTATGCCGTTAAAATAGATAAAAGGTCTACAATAAAAATATGCCGCATTGAGATTGTATGATCAGATCCTAAATATGAAATAATAATATTGATTTTTTGTCTGAACATTCAACGAATTCGTGTCGTTTTCGTATTGTCACGGGTGAATGGCCGGCGAGCTATGTAAGACTATCTGTATCCCCAACTCAACCCAACCCAACCTAATAATTAAAAATTATTTCACTCTTATCCACATATACAACTCAATCTTACAACATAATTAATCTTTATCCCCAACCTAACTCAACCTAAATATTTATTATAATTTAATTTATTTAAAAATTATAATTTCATTCCAAAATATATCAAATGTGGTCTCTATTTGTAGATAATGAAAAAATACGAATTTTAATATCCTTTTTATTTTTTTTAACAAAAAAATACACTTATCCAAGGTCACAATGTGACTTGAGCCGTTGTTTTTTCACGACCTTCTCTTCTTCTTCTTTTTTTTTTTTT